TTGGAATAAATTTTCTATTAAATAAATCTTTTTTGATACTTTTTTGAAATAAAATCTTTTTTATTATTATTATTATTTTGAAGTTATTTAGGTTTGTTTAGGAATTATAATATTTTAGTTCTTCTCAGGTAATTTTGAATATTATAAAAATTAGAAATTTTTTTTCTTAAAATAAAAGTAAAAAAATTAGAATCTTTTAGATTTCCTCTTTCGTAATTTTCTTTATTATTCGAGGCATTGTAATATTTTACTTTTCTTTATTGTAAAACTTAAGTAATATAGGAATTATAATCTTTTAGATTTCTTCTTTTATGGTTTTCCTCATTAGTTGAAACTAATACATAGATAAAGACTAGTAGTCAACAAAAAATAAAAAAAGAGGAGATGATAATTAATTAAGATTTTTTTTTTTCTGTTAGAGTATTGTCCCATGTTATATTTTTTCGTGTTCTTTCTTCTAATTACTATTAAGTCTAATCTATCTCCTTCAATCTATTTTTTCCTATATTTCTTCACATCGAAAGCAGTTGCATAACTATGCAATTAAATAGTATTCCTTCAAAATATTTCTTAGTTTAATCCTGTTTAGTAGAGGTTATTTAAGAAACACTAAATATTTTTTCTTCTTGAGAGCATATAGTTATTCCATAAAAATGATTGGATGGTTTTTCAATTTTATAGTTGTGTAATACAATCAACCCCTTAAGTGTGATGCTTAAAACTTCATAAATGCGATATTAACAAAAAAAAAAAAAAAATTTGCAATATTTAGGTTTTTATCTCCAAATGCCTAATTAGACAAATCCAAAAATACAACAGGATGGTTGCCTGCGATATCCACATTTGAGAAAAATTCTGGTTGGAGACATGGATTCTTATCCAAAGAAGATAGAACATCAAAAATACATTTGCAATTTACCAGTATATTACTTGTTTCTATTTTCAATTTCATCTAGTGTGGCAAAAAAGTTGGGAGCAGTCTAATGCCATTTTCGGTGGAGTGATTAAGAGGCCAAAGGATGTTCCATTGGCGATTTAGGATAAGGTCAAAGTCCTTGTCCTTTACTAGATCCCTTGTTTTAATAAAACTTTTCACGGGAAGTGGCTTTAAAGATTCATGAATGTTAAAGATAGCCTATGGTGAAAGGTAATAAGAGCCAAGTCTGGAACTATTGATAGGGGCTAGAAGTCCAGGCAATCTAGAGCTCCACATGGCTATGAGTCTTTAAGAAAATCAACTCCACTTGGATGAGTCCACAACTGCATGAAGCTGAGGCTTGGTTCCAGGACTAGGGTGAATTTTTGGCATGATGATTGGTGTAAAGGTGGGACCTTACATCAATGGGGCGTCGATTGTGGGACTTGTGAGAACTGGAATCATTGAAATTTGATATGTCATACTTCTTTGAAACCTTTCCTGCCTCCATGTCCTAACTATGTGGAATTATAACCCAGGGAGGAAACTAGACAAGGATAAGTCTTTACAGTGAATCTCTCTATTATCATCTCGCTATTTTTTGCCCCATTGTGATTCCCATGGAAGCATAATGCTTCCCCAAGGATTGTCTTTTTTTGATTGGTAGGTAGTGAGAGGTCAGATTTTTGCTACTGATATCTTTGAAGCAGGAAGAGATTCTTGTTACTGGGTGTTTTTGTGCTTCTTTCCACGTGTCCTTTCTCTTTCTGCCTACAGTGCATGACTCTTGAGTCCCTGTGGCCTGAGCAAGGTTATTACAAATTCTCTGGCAAATGAGGTATGGGCTTAGCATTGCATTTAAGATAATAAGCACATATAAGAAATCATCTCTTTATCTGAATTGCAAACATGTGGATCGTTTGAAAAGAAATGAACAAAAGGGTTTATTAGGGATTAGCTTTTCTCTTTTATAGAGTTAGGAATTTATGGTTGCAGACCCTGGATTTTTGTCAAAGGGTCATGCTGTCATTTACGATGAGATTTTAGGGGATTGATCTTTTGACTGATTTGTGATTATCCTTTTCTTTAAAAAAAAATAGAGAATTTTACTCATTAGACAGACATTCAGGGAGGACATTTCTTCCATAGGAGAATGGAATCAACAATTTCATGTCAAACCTTCTATCACACCACAATACAACAAATCTTCAGGTAATAAATTCCCAGCTAGTAGGAATCCTTAACTATCCCAATTTAAATGATTAATGGGTTTATAAGATGGTAAGATATTTTTTTAGAGTCCACAGCTATGAAATCCACGAAAATGGAGGGGCAGTATAATTAATTTAAGCATTCTAATAGAAAACAAAAGGTTCAAACACAATTTTCCATAAGAATGACATGAATATTTATGCAAAAGTATCTTTGACAGACGTTCGAAAACAAATTCTTAAGAAACAAAGACACTGAAAAATGTTCTTTATGTAAATTCCACATATATAAAGAGAACTATAGTTAGTAGACTCACAACTGAGATGCCACCCTCAATTGCTGCATTTGCAGCCTCTGCAGCAACCTCCGCACTGCAGAAAATGAAAACACAGTAAGTATTAATATGGTCCAAATCGCAAATTCTATTCAGGATGCACAGAATTCGGATTATCAAGGATCAAAAGTAACCCTATGCAAAGCAAGTTCTTAACCATATGGTCATAGGCCTTGCATCATATCTGATTCCGAGACAAATCATTTCTTACCAGATAATCAAATTAGTTAACTAGCAACCAAGGCAGCATCTTAGATTTGCCTGCCTTCCGGGAAAGTGTGTTCCCCATTCAGCATCCGCACAACCCATCAGCTAACTTATGCTCTTAGCCTACTAGCAAGACCATGGTCTGAAGCTTGTGAACACAACCTAAAATTTACGACTAATGTTCTCAATATATCCTCAGAACACCACCCAAACAAGTTTGTATTTGCTTAATTTATTATAAGTAGATGTGCATAAAAATAAAGACAGCTTATTTTCCTCTGAGCCATTGGACCTGATATTACGTAGAAGAACACGCAGAATTCAGGCCAGAAATTCACACACTCAATATCCAAATCATCTTTTCTCAGGAAAAAATGATATCGTTGACTTCAAAGTTTGATAGAAGAATAGGGGGATTTTCTACGGGAGCATGCATGAGATAATTGTTAAAATGCACATAAAAATTCGAAAAGACAAAACTGATTTGCAGAGCCACCAATTTCTAGGTAACTACCCTCTCACATCAGCAAAAAGAAGAAAACACCCATTAATAACCAAAAAGAAGGAAATAAAACAACGCAACAACCAAGATCCACAACTACCGTAAAATTTCGAGAACTGGAGGGCACTGAGAGCTAAAATACAAGAGAAAATAGCTGTAGAGAAGAGCTGGAGATGGAGTACCTAGTGGCACGAAGGCAAGCGATCACACCAGCATCTTGAATTCGAGAAAGCGTTTGCTCTATGGGAGAGGAAAGACCTTTACGACGCGGCTCGCAATAACAACTGAAACGACCCACCCGCCATGGCTGTGGCTGCGGCCACAGCCATGGAGAACTAAAGCACGTAACCGCACACCCAAGCTCGTAATGGCCACTGCCATATCCACAAGTCCTCTTGGTATCTGCTTCCACTACTGTACTAGAGCAGAGATATTTTGGCGGGACTGCCTGATCGGGCACCAATTATCCAAAACGACGCTGTTTCTGATTTTCGGGCCTCCGGACTTGGGTTTGAATTTTGAATTTGACTTTCATGAGCCTTTAGACAAAAAGCACTTTTCTCATTTAAAAATAATTAAAACTAATGTTGGCACAATATCTGGTAGTACAAGAATTATTGATGTCTCTAGAAGAGTAGATATGTTACTACATAAAGGAAAAAAAATATTTTTATAAATAATGTATTGTTATCTTATAAATCTAGAAAAAAATCTATTGAATTTTAAATATATAAGCCAAAATGGATATCATATTAAAACATTGCAATGAGAAAAATATTGAATAACCTTGCATTATAAATATTGTGTCAAGTAAAAAATGTGTATTAAAAAAATTACTAGCAACTTTTTAGACTTGTAGTTTATAAATATTTATACAATTGAAATAGTAGATCATAACTGCACTAATTCAAATCTTTTAAAATTTAGTATTGATAGGTTGGGATATCTTAATTCACTAATGATATTATTAGAAAATATTATGACTAACTTTGATGTAAAAATAATAGAAAATAATGTTTGTTTTTCTGCCCACAGATAATAATTCTTAACTGTTGACGTCTTTTGTTTTCTTTTGTATGCTACTAGAATTTTAGATAATCTTCATACCCAAAAACTCAAGTCTGTTTATAATTTTTACTTAACGTGAGAGAAAAAATAATAATATGTATTTTTTAGATGTTATTTGTTTTTTTAATTAAACAGAAACAATTTTTTTTCTTTCTTATATACTCACTAAGAGTCATATTTTTTATAATAAGGGTTTTTCCTTTAAAGACTCACAAAAAGTCGTTTCTTTTTACAATGAGTGTTATACACGTTTTTAATTTTATACAATATCTCTCACTCGATCACACAAGCTACACAAACCACAATATACTACCACATTAATATATCTCTCACATTTTATACATGATATAGGATGTGTGACCAAAATGCCACAAATAGTATTATATTAAGTCACCATTTAACTAATATAACACTTTCATATTTATAATACCCTACATCATTTAAACATCACCATTATCATATATTGTCTCTTTATGTTATAATTATATTACTTGGTTATATACAAAATATATAACTGTCCGGCCTTATGTGATGATATCAAAAAGATTCTTTTTTAGACATTCATAATAATCCATCTCAACTTGACTGCTTACCTAACATGCTCTGTTAGACCGTATAGGTCGTGGCTCTTGGAAACATATTAAAGTAGCAACATTAAATATTGACTTCATGTGATAGCTCCAAGTCAAAGGGTATCATACAAAGAGAACACAAGAGTCCATAGATTTCACATAGTGACAAAGTAGAGAATTATTTTGTCACTTCTTATATTGGTCGTTATATACCACATACAGTATGATATGTATGTCACAACATAGCTCCCACTAAGTTGAGCATGTCACTTTTTTATGTCGTGCAAGTCATAAGTCCAGATACTACTCAAATATCCAACTTGAGTCACTTGATCAACATACTCAATGTGTGACATGATACTCGATATTAGACTCTAAGGCTTTAATATAAAATCTAGTATATTTTATACTCCACTCTCTAGACTTTTATTTTAGACTTACTAAAGCGACTATAAAATTTTTAATATTTTGTCATTAATACAACACAAGTATAAAGACAGTTTATATTGCACATACTTAACGCCAATATGATTTAATCTTATCCTACCTGCTACTCAAGCATTAAGGAGATCACCCATGTGATAAGGTCGATCATAAAACTTGGTGACATTATTACGCGCATAATCATGCAATTATATTCATTAACATTTAATAAGAAAATAACAATTTTTATTTCATAATGATCAATACACAAAAATATATATCCACTACGTATCAAATCCCACTCAAAAATTAAAGTCTACGTAAACCTAGACTCTTCACATGACCCTGAAAAACATCTCTAGGTATAAGCTTGGTAAAAGGATCAGCAACCATTTTACTAGTGGATATATACTTATAATAACTTCTCATTTTTTGATGGCACCTCGAACAAAGTGATAACACCTCTTAATATACTTGGTTTTCTTATGAAATGTCATATCCTGAGTATATTGGATAGCATCAATATTGTCACAATTCATTTTTACAGGTTCATCAACTTTAGGGGTGATGTTGAGATCTTGCAGAAAGCTTTTCAACCAAATTGTCTTTTGTACAGTAAAACAACTAACAACATATTTCGCTTCCGTTATAGATAAAGTAATGCAGTTTTATTTTTTACTACACCACGATATGAAACCTCTACTAAGGATAAAAACATATCTTGAAGTCGACTTAGACTCATCCTAGTCGCCACCCTAGTCAGCATCTGAATATCCTTTCAATCTTAAGTTCCCTCATTGATAATAGAGGACTAAGTCACTTGTACCACGAAGGTAACATAAGATTCTCTTAACTGCTTGCCAATGAGTAGGTCCAGGGCAGCTTTGATAACGACTTAACAAACCAACTACAAAACAAATGTCCGACCATGTACACAACATGACATACATCAAACTGCCTATTACACTAGCATAAAGAACGTTACTCATTTTTTTTCTTTTCATCTATCTTTGGGCGCTGGTCAAGACTTAAGGTTAGACTATTCTCAATAGAAGTGTCAACAGGTTTAGAGTAATGCATCCGAAATTGTTCTAAAACTTTTTTAATATTTGTTTTTTGGTACAGTCCTAAAAGCTTCTTAGGACGATTCTCATTATTTCCACGCCAAGAACAAACCTGGCTTTATCCATGTCCTTCATCTTAAAAATAGAGGACAACAACTACATAGTGACATTAATCATCTCCATGTTGTTTTTAGCTAATAGTATGTTATCAACGTATAAGGAGAGAAACATAATCTTTTCCGTTGTTTTTTGACATACACACAATGGTGTTCATTACCATGGACAAGCCAAATGAAGTAATGACTTCATAGAATTTGAAATACCATTATCTGAAAGACTACTTGAGACTATATATGGATCTTTTAAGACAAAAAACTTTGTTTTCTTGACCTTTTGAGATAAACCCAATAGGTTGATCCATATATATTTCTTCATCAAGTGTATCATTGAGAAAAGCAGTTTTAATATTCATTTAAAATAACTCCAAGTCCAAATAGGCGACTAAGGCTAAAAGGAGACGAATAGAGGCAAATCTCACTATAGGAGAAAAAGCCTCTTCATAGCCTATACCTTTAATTTGGGTAAAATCTTTAGCCACTAGTCGGCTCTTAAACTTTTTAATTGATCCATTTATTCCACGTTTTATATTGAAAAACTACTTATTTCAAATCGATTTATGTCGAGGCGGGGGATCAACTAGTTCCCAAATCTTATTTCTCGTCATTAAGTCTATTTGATCCCTCATGGCATCAATCGACTCTTTACTATTTGGTAAATTTATAGTCTCCTTAAAGGAGGTGGGTTCCTTAAGTTCTAAAGGAGTGCAAAGGAAAAATTTTTATTCTATTTAAAAATATCATCGGAAAATTTTTTCACGTTCACTCATTCGAATCCTAGAATATTCATCACTTGCCTGACTAAACGATAAATCTCTCCCACTGTTCCTTAGAGTGGGATTTGAAACTCGAAGACTAACCTCATGTTTCAAACTCGGATCTTGAGGACTAACCCTATTTTCTAGTGAATTATCATTTGTAGGCAAGTTTTCACCATCTAAAATAGTAGAATCACTCCCACTATCTCTTTTATTTGGTGGAATATCATTATCTTTGGTGACTTGGTAGGTTTTCAATACCTTTTTCTCATCAATAGATAGTTGCATGTCCTCCTATAACTCATACAGTTTGAGATTCCTTTTTATTTCACTAATGCTTAAGAACTCATCCTCAAGAAAATTAACATTGTGGGAGTCAATTTCGGTCATGCCACCATTTGGGTATTCTCTAAACATTATATATTCTTTTGAATGTTCAGGATATCTGATAAACACCATCTTACTTGCTATTAGACCTAGTTTTCTGTGTTTGTGGGTTGGGTTATACACATAGGCTGGCAACTCCCAATGACGTAAATGATCCAAAATGGACTTCTTGTCATTCCATAACTCATATTGAGTGATAAATATACTTTTACTTGATATACGGTTAAAGATATAGGTTGTTGTAAGCAACGCATCTCCCCAAAAATTATTAGAGAGGTTGGCATGTGTCATTATCGATCTAACCATGTCTAGTAATGTATGATTCATTCGCTCTATAATACCATCTTGTTGCGGAGTATGAGAAATTGTAAGTTGCTTACGTATACCTTTTTTCTCACAATATTCTTTGAACATATCAGAAAGGTATTCACGATCATGATCGGTTCGAAGAGTCTTTACTTTTCGATCAATTTGATTTTTTATTTCTGCTAAAAAATATTTGAACATATCTAACACTTCATAGCGATAAAAAATTAGATACACATATCCACAACGTGAATAGTCATCTATAAAAGTGAGAAAATATATGGTACTATGATATGCTTTG